CAGAATGCTCTGAGAGCATTCCAGAACGCTCTGGAACGGACTCATCCTGGTCCTAGCCCCGTCAGAGGCATGCTCGCGTCGTGAAAGCATCAGGGCGGGATGCTTGTTCGCCGTTTTCGGGCTCTGGGGAGCCTTACCAGGCCCCTGGACTGCCACACGACTCGTGATGAACAACCAGTCCTGGGAAAAGGGTCGGGACTTCGGGGGACCCTGTGTTGACAAAAATCAGGACACCGCATGACTGGGAACTCATGGAAGCCTCCCGTGCCATCTTGCTGACGCAAATCGACGCTGAATGAACGCTACATTGACGCTGAACCGACGCTACATCGAGGTTAAATCGGCGCTCTCTCTGATCGATTGCCAGACGCTCGCGCACGCTATTGTACGCTAGAGCGGGATTGCGAGGACATACCAGGCTCCCAAGATTTGCTACCGAAGGACGGTGTCGTAGGCCTGCACGAACTCGTAGGTTCGGGGAACAATAAACGACACGATCATAAACTCTCGGAAGTCCGTGCGGATTTCTTGGATATCGGCGCTGGAGCCCCCCGGCGGCGCCTCTGGCACCGCCGCTGGCGCGCTCCGCGCGCCAGGAAGGGGGGCCCAGCGCCGATGCAAGAATTCAGCGCGGACCTTCGAACATGTTATGTGCATGGTTTAAACTGTCCCTCGAGAGGTGTACTTCAGGGTCTCCGTGTACGTGCCGGCCGCGTCCTCCTTCTCGCCGACCACCCTGGTCGCCCCCACGTAGCAGGAGGGAGCGTCCGTCGCGGCAGGGCAGTGGCTGACGCACATCGGGTGCCGCGTGTCCAGGTGCCCGAGCGACGCGTAGACGGTGACCGCCTTGGCCGCCGCCCCGGCCACGTGGTCCTGCAGGTCTCCCAGCAGCCTGGCTCTGGCCATGGCGCTGCCGCCGTAGGGGCACCAGTAGAGGTACGCCTTGTCTGCCACGCCCTCGTCGACGCCGCACAACCGACCTCGGAAGTCCACCCCGTGATAGAGCTTCCTGATGTCGCCCGCCTCGCTGGCGTGGGCCTGCACCAGGGCTGCGGCCACGGCCGCGGCCGCGAAGACGGCGACGCAGAAGACGTCTGTGCAGTGGTGGGCCCTGTTCCCAGCCCTGCGCTCGTCCTCCGTGAGGTGATACTCCCTCATGCTGGGGAGGTCCGGCCCGCCCCGGGCGCCCTCGAAGTCGCCGACCGCGTACCTCTTCCGAGCCTGCTTGGCCCTCGGGTCCTCGGCGCGGAAGCAGGCTGCGGTGGCGCCCATCGTGCCTCGCGGCCGGAGCCACCGCCCGCTCCCACTCGTGCGCGCGCTCGCTCGCGCTCCCCGGACCCCCGACGGCGCGATGTTTTCACCACGTCGACCCCGGGAGGTCTGGACCCTGTCTTCGGGACCGGTGTGTCATCCTGAGTCGCTGTTTGACGGCCCTGGGGCCCAGGAGGGGCCCGCGGAGGCCGAAAACAGCGAAAACCATCCCGTCGTGTTTTTTTCACAACGCGAGGGGGGGTCCGGGTCACGTCCCCCCCCCCGCCACGGCCCCCGCGCGCCCCCCCCCCCCCCCCCCGCGGCTTGAGCCACGATGGTGAGCGGGTTGGGCTGCATGCGGAACGAAGGCACGCCACGCCTCGGCCCTCAGCGCTGCCTCTACGCAGAGAGCGGCGCCCTCGCCTCCACCATGACGCAAACGGCGACGTCGTCGATTTGATCGCCGTCGTCACCGTTCGGTGCGCTTTTGCTGGTTGTTGTCGATCGGTGCGCGCAACGCACCGATCGACAACCACCCAACCAGCCGGCTCATTTCCGGCCAATTTCGCATCACTGGTTGTGGCGTGCTCGTGCCCAGGGGGAACAGTAGGGCAGGCAGGACGGTCTCCGAGGAGATCTTTGGAGATGTGCCTCGCACCCTGTCGAAGAGAGCCGATGGACAGCCCCAGAGGGCGCCAAGATGGCCCAATAAAGCTCCAGCAGAGTTTCGAGATGCGCCTGCCGTGCGTTGATTTTTGTTCTCACGGTGACCCGAAATGCTCCTCGATGGTCGTCGCCGTGATTCCGAAGGGTTTGATTTTGCGGAGGGCCGCAGGTCGTCGGCAAGAGAACCCAGAATCGAATCGATAAGTCGGATCGGCGATCGAAATGAGTCGGATCGGCGGAAATCGGCAGCCCAGTCGGAAAAAGTCGAATCGGCGGACATCGGCAAGCTAGTAGGCCTCCATTAAGATCGGAGCCCAAACCGGAATCCCAAGTCGAATCGAATCAGCGTCGGAGGCCATCGAAATCGAATCGAATCGAATCGGAGGAACCGAAACGATATCTGGCCCTGCGTCGGTTCCGCGCAAAACTGGACTCCCGGGATCTGTGGCTTTGGGACCTTCCTGACGGTCTTCGAAGCGGCCACCGGGCCTCGCAGGGCGTTTTGCCAAGCCTTCCCAGCACACCTAGGGCGATCAGGAGGGTCATCGGAGACGTCCCAGAGACCCCCAAGACAGCACAAGAGCGCTCCAAGAGTGACCGACGTGACCTCAAGATGGCCCAAGAGGCCTCCAGGACGGCCCCAAAGAGGGCTCCAAGAGCACTCCCAAGAAGGCCCCCCCGAGGCAAAAATCCGCCGACCCCTTGGGGATCATCGGCGTGTGAGATGCTTCCCCCTCCCCAAACCCCTCCCCCGGGAGCCCGGTCCGGTCGATTTGGAGGGGGGGGGGGGGTCGAGCGCGAGCGGGGGGGGTCCGGGACGAGCGGTTCACGGGGCTTTTCCGGGCCCAAGAGGGCCTCAAGACGGGCCAAGAAGCCCCCAAGAGGCCTCCAAGACGGCCCACGAAGGCTCCGAGACGCCAAACGACCGGTCCAAGACGCCCACGATGGCCCCAAGACGGGCCAAGAGGTCTCCAAGACGGCCTCCGAGGTCCCAAACAAGCCTCCCAAGAGGACCCCAAGAGTCTAAAATTGTTGATTTTCCATAGTGTTTTTCTATGTTTTTTGCTTTTCCGCCTTTTCGGCTTCCCGACGCTCCAAGACGGCCAAAGAGGCCCCCAAGAAAGCCCCAAGATGGCCCAAGAGGCCCCCAAGACGGCCTCCAGACGGCCCAAGACGGCCCCAACACGGCCCAAGAGGTCCCCAAGACGGCCCAAGAGGGCTCCAAGACGGCACCAACAGGGGCCCAAGAGGGCGACCAAACATGTTGAAACTCTAGCTTTCTGCCCCCAGGAGCCCCAGGGGGCCCCAAGAGTGCCCCAAGAGGCCCCCAGAGGCCCTCACGAGGCCGCCCAGACGCCCCAAGGAACCCCCAAGAAGCACCCCAGAGGCTCCGAAACGGCCCCCAAGTGGCTCCAAAACTCGATTTTCACCCCTTCGCAGCATCTACTACCCCCAGATTAGCATAAACAAGGGGTCGGCGGTGTGGCGTAAGCCTAAGAATCATTGATTTTCTGTTGGTTCTTGGTGAATGTTGGGGTTCTTCTCTTTTCGGCTTCCCGACGCTCCAAGACGGCGGTGTTCTGGGCGTCCGAAGCCGCCTGGGAGGCTCCAAAATCGCCCCACAACCATCTGAAAAGGCTTCAGGCAATCCAAGAGAGCCCCAAAACGGCACACCACGGGTTCTAGATGGCCTCAGAGAGCCCCATGGCGGCCCAAGATGGCCCAAAGACACCATCCGAAGCATTCCAAATCGTGACCCGTTCGTTCAGGGAGACCGCGGTTGGAGGCAGGGTGGCCCGAGGAAGCCCCCGGAGGCCCCAGAATACGCCCAGGAGGCCTCCAGAAGGCCTTAAGAAAGCTTGAAACAACTTTTGTGAGGCCCCCAGAGGCTCTCCAAGGAGGAGCCTCTGCAAAAAAGAGCTGAGGAGGATGGGCAGAATGCCCAGGGTATGGCGAAAATAAAGAAAAGAAGCATGGAGGAAGGATACCGAACAACATTATTATAGCGGCGATGCCGGAAAAGGCAACAAGGAGTTATCGCTAAATTGTCGGCTTGACCTTCCTGCTATTCCGCCTGCATACCAAGCTTCAAGGACCAAGGTGCATGGCGCGAAGCGCCACTGCAGTCTTGTATATATATATATATATATATATATATATATATATGTGTGTGTGTATGTGACGTATGTGTGTGCATGCATTGGCCCATCTCCTAGGCACGAACATCAGAGTGAGGGACCGAACGGTCATGCACCGTCCCTGGGCGCGTGGCTGAAGTGGGGCTCCGCGGTGCGGATTGTTGTTGCGTTATTCCGTTGTTGCGTTGTCGTTGCTGTTGTCGTCGTCGTCGTCGTCGTCGTCGTCGTCGTCGTCGTCGTCCCGCCCACGACCCACCCCGCGACCCACACCGCAACCCATCCCGCGACCCAACGCGCGACCCGCTCGCGACCCATCCGCAACCCGCGCCCGCCCCGTAACTCTTGTCCGCAACTGCGGGGGGTGCTACGTCTCCATATCCACCGCCTGCCGAGGTCCCCAGGCCGTGGTTATGGATACATCGCCGCCGCAGACCACTCGTCTGTGGATAGTCTGAAGCCTTTTCTGGACGACCCCCCTCAAGTCCTGACCGCTGCGCACCGCGGCAGAATCACGAGGGGCGTTTCTTCAGGGCCCCGTGCCCTGGGTTCATCAGAGGCCGCCCCACGACGAGGGAGTGGTCCAATGATGGGGTCGAGAACTCTGCGGCCCAGTGGCTCTTCCGTCGCTTCGGGGGGCGACCCAATGATCTCTTCCCTTCACCACCCTGCGCAAGTGGCAAGTGACGCGCCATGGCAAAGCTTTTAGGCCGCCACCGTGGATAACGGGATAGCGTGCGTTCCGAGGCGACGATGACGATTTGTGCTCTCCTCGGTCCGTGGGAGCCGTCCTCTCGCGCGGGCCATGCGAAGCGCCGCCAAGGTGGCAGACGACGACAGTCGCAACTGGCAGCCGAGTTCCACGTCGCCGCGGAGCGCCGACATCCTCTGTGGCGCCTGCCCCCAGGGCTGCCGCTGTTCACCGAACAAAGCACCCCGCCACCGCCGCTACAACTCCAGATCTGAATAACGCAACTTGTCCCGCTCGAGCCTGAAGTACGGGTTCTCCCAGTCCGTGGGCCCGTTCCAGTCCACGGGCTTGAAGTGCGAGAAAATGTTCCCGAATTCCTCGCCCTGGAACCGCATCGGCCTGCCATGGACCACCCGGGCCCCCTCATACAACACCATCTCGCCGGGCTGCAAATACACCTCCGCGAGGCCGGTCTTGTGGGGGTGGATGACCTCGAGGGGCCAGCCGACATCGGCACGTGCGCCCACCTGCGTAGAGCCCATGGGCTATTCAGTGCAGAGGTCCTGCCCTGACGTGAGAGTGCCCGCTCAGGAGCTTGGAGCCTTGAGCACATTCTGCCCGGCCCCCCTGCCCCGGGTTCGATATAGGCACTCCCGAGCTGGGGCAGGGACGCTTGACTGAACAAGACTGTGGGGGGCGTTCATTCAGCAGTGTGCCCAGGAAGCTTCAGACCCTGGAGAATCCCTTATCTGATGAGGGCGGCAGTGATACCCATGAACAGTCCTCGATCGGAGTTCCAACAGCTTCCAGACCCCACATTCCTTATCCAATGGTTCCTCATCAGATGCCCCCACCGCTTTCAAGCAACGAAGCCTGGATCACCGCGCTGGCCACGTGTGTGTCCTTCCGGTCTAAGTGGTTTATCAGCATCGAGCCGCGACGGTAAACTCGGAGGCCGAACGTCGTTGTGTGCTGGAGGGTCTGATTCGTCCACCACTCGAGCACCTGTCGCCAGCAAAAGAAGACATACCAATAATGGTACGGTTCCCTGGGGGGGGCCTTCAATGGGCCTGCAGAGTGCCGACGCCGTTTCAGCGATATAGCAAACTGTGCCCTAAAGGCCCATATACTCCTCCCTACTGGCCATCCCATCTAAACATGCAGGGTCTAGCTATCTGGCGATCTGTCTAGCGACCTGGCAATACGTTGAAAGATCTCCCCACGTGACGTAATGCCCACCAGACTACGTACTTGTATTGCTACCGACCGGGCTATCAATCTAAATAACAACCGACCGAAAACTCGACGAATGAGCATACAAGCGATATGGCGACGAATCGGCCTAGACACGCTTCTGACTGTCAACGAGGCATCAAGCGATCTCCCAACATATGAATTGAACAATCTGGCGAATGGGCTCAACAACAACATTACACAATCAATTACTGAATTCGATGTCAGCGGCCGATATGGAAATTTGGAACTACCTATCGCCTGCAATAATCAATGAATTTAAATAGGGTGCGCGACACTGTCTAGCCAACGCTCGATCGATTCATCAGATGACAAACTTGCCCAACAATCGGCACATCCAAATAACGGGAAACTCCAGAATGACGAATTATCCGAAACACTTGTTGACAAGCGAGCGGACTACCGGTCTCACCGTCTGCCTACTTACTCTACAACACAACTCTGTCGAACAATATACCTAGCATGCGATCAACCGGACGACCGATTTGTCTGACACACTACCAACGGCCTGTCTAGCGACCTCGCAAACGATCTAACGACCTCAGCCAAAATGGCGGTAACTGGGCCGCACTTACCAGGCAGCGCCTCCCCACTACGAGATATTCAGGCTCCAATGACGAGAGTATTTGAGTAATGTGGACCTGCTTCATCTCCTGCACCAAGCCGTTGTACACAGCTGGGAAGCGAGTGATCTCAATCTTATCCATTGCGACCTTATGGCTATTTGTGAAAAACCCAGGGATGGGGTCGTGCTTCCTCACAGAGTCGCGCAACCGCTCCTGGTACCAAGGGTAAAGAAGGGACTTCATCTTGTCTGTCATGTGCATCTTCAGGTATCCACCCTCGTAGTCCGTCACCGTGCTCCCTGGTACGTTTGAGAGGGGTAGAAAGCCAAGTGGTGCCTGGTTGGATTCCTGTAGGCCTTACGAAGCCCCATCATCTCCCAAGACATTCTTGCGTGCACCAGCCTCCCCTCCCGAGGTTCCCAGGAGGCCCATACACTTGCCTGGCGTTCTTCAGTGCTGTCCGAGGCTGGAGAAGCGGCCCAGAGAGGCGACCAAGGCTGCCAAGATGACTCCACACCACTGCCTCGAGAGGCACGCAAAGTCTCCCAAAAGAGCCCACGAGGCTCCAAAGCTGCCCCAATAAGCTTCCAAGACGCCAGAGAGAAGGCCAAGCAGCCACACAGCAGGGCCAGAGTCAATCCCAAGCCTGTGACAACACTTACTTGTTTCTTTCGATTTTGAGTGAGCCTCGGAGGCACCAAAGAGACGCCCTTAAGAGCCAAAGCAGGGCCCCCCAAAGCCCTCCAGACGGCCCAAGGCAGCTCCAAGAGAGCCCAAGACGGCCGGGCCCAAGCCAGGCCAGCCCAGGGGGGGGCCCGAGAGGCCCCCCAAACAGCCCAAAGAGATCCTCCGAGACTGCCGAGAGTGGACCAAGATGGCACTACGACGGCTAAAGAGAGACCCAAAACGCCCCAAATGGGCCCCACATGAGCCCAGGACATTCCCAAGGCGGTCCAAGTAGCCCTAATGAGAGCCCTGACAAAAATAGAAACGAAAGGTGTCGCGTGTTACGGCCTCAGAGTGCTGCGTTGGCACGGTGGCGGGACTTGCCGCAGGCAACTTGATTGGTCACGTTAACTATGTACCTCTGCTGGCTCATCCAAACATGGTCGGCCGTGGCGCCACGTTTGTAAGGGTTCCCGCTGCCAGTCTCGTCCGCGCTGAAGCCGTACAGCGCAGGATCGCGCTGCTTGACCTCGGCCTCCGTCACCCGCCGGACGCAACTCCACTCCTTCGAATGGCCGACGCAGGGAGAACCGTGATCCCGAGCCAGCTGCTCAAACTCCTTCCACCTGCGGGTCGAGGCCTCCCAAATGGGCGACGAAAAGAAAGGGGTCTCACGCGAGATGACAGAATTGCCTTGCGCGGTGACTTACGCCCGCCACCAGCGCGGCACGCCACTTTGGAGACGAGGGCTCTTCCGCGCGACCTTACGCGGGCAGCTTACGCGCCAATGTCGGCGCAGACGACCCCGTTTTCGTTTGCGTCGCTCGGATGGGGTCCCAGCACATGGGGTCGGAGGATCGCGCCGCATCGCCGATGCATCCCCGATACATCGGCGATGCACCGGCGACGTCGGAGACGCATCGGCGCCGTCGGCTCAGAGAAAACACCAGGCTCCATGTCGAGCCGCGTCGCTGCTGCATCGGCGATGCGGCGCGATCTTCCGACCAGATCTGCTCCGATCCCGCATGGGAGGCCTGCAATGCGCACACGGCCGCAAGCACCCCCGCAAAGAACCCAGGCCCTGAAAACCCGCGCGCGAGATGCACCCGGGGGGGGGGAACCCAGAGCACCCGGAACACAGCAGCCCCTCCCACGGCCGCGGGAAGCCGCCGCGCAGCGCGCGAAGCGAAGAAACCGAGGGGGGCCCTGACGAGAAGCAGACGGTTGGTTTCCTGGTGCGCATCCCCACTGCAGAGCGGGGGGGGAGGGCCGCCCCCTCTGCCCGGTGTTTTGTTTTCCGGCCACAACTCGGACATCCGGCGGCCGCTCGGGATGAGCTGGGCACCCCAAGGACGTCTTGGCGAGGCGCAGCTGCTGGAACGCATCCCGAGGCCGGAAGAGCGCCAGGAGCCGACGAAGGCGCTCGGAAACCTCGAACCTTCGAGCCCTATAGGGCACGCGAAGAACGGAGGAGCATAACCTCGCCCGCCACCGGGAGCGCCTGGCCCCGACGGCGAACAAGTGGAGGAGGAGGAGGAGGGAGGAGGAGGAGGAGGAGGAGGAGGAGGAGGAGGTGTACTCCATCCCAGTCTTCGCCCGTGATGGCAAGGCATCGCCCTCCTCCGAGCAGGCGCCGCGCTCGACGAGGAGCACGGCGAAGGGCCGCCCCCGTGGCCGAGGCGCGGCGGGGGCGGGGTGCGCCCGCCCCCCCCTTTATCTCCTCCTCCTCCTCCTCTCCCCTCATCCTCCCCTCCTCCTCCTCCTCTCCTCATCCTTTTCTCGTCCACCACCTCCACCTCCGCTCTTCCTGCTCCTCTGCTGATCCTCTCTCCTCCTCCTCCCCTATTTCCTCCTCCTCCCTGACTCCTGCTTCCGCTCCTCCTGTCCTCCTCCTCTCCTCCTCCTCCTCCTTCCTCCTCTCCTCCCATCCTCTCCTCCTGCTCCTCCTCTTCTCCTCCTCTCTCCTGATCCTCTTTCTCCTTCCCCTCCTTCCTTCTCCTCTCCTCCTCCTCCTCCTCCACCTTCTCCACCTCCTGCTCCTCCTGCTCCTCCTGCTCCTCCTGGTCCTCGTCCTCGTCCTCCTCCTCCTCCACCTCCTCCTTCTCCTCCTGCTCCTCCTCCTCCTCCTCGAGGTTCGAGCCTCGAGGATGGGGTTTCGACAGCGACGACGACATCCCAGACCCCCTCGAAGATCGAGGTTCGAACTTTGAGGATGGTGGCTCGACGCGTGCTGGCATTCGGGGGCCCTCCTCTCTGGTGGCAGCTCATGGGAGCCTCCCACGCCATCTTTGCTGGCTCTTGCGAATCGACGCTGGCCCGGCCCGGCGCTGGTCGGCGCCGGTCGACTCTAGATCGACGTGAATTAACACCAGTCGACGCTAAATCGACGCTCGTCGATCTAGACCGTCGCTTTCTCATTGGCTGCTACCATCGCACTCGAATGCACTCCGAAAACGGGATTGCGAGGACAGTCAGGGCTCACATGTGTTGCTGCCAAGCACCCTCCTTCCATTGATCCCCCTTCCCCCTCAGCTGGGTCTGTCGTGTCGTCTCTTCGTCGTCGTTTCCATTTCCCCTGCCACAGGGCTCGTCTCGGCGGTTAACAAAACACGCGAGACCGTAGACATTGGCGGCGCGCGCATGGGGGGTACGTAGGGGAGGGAGGAAGGCGTCTTAGACGGAGGCTGCTTCTTGGAAGGCGCCGGCCCTTCATCTACAGACAAGGCCCGCGCCTTCTGAGAAGCAGGGGCGCTCCTGAGAAGCCTTCCCCCCTCGCCCTGACCCCCTCTGCGCGTGGCCGGGTCGTCTCTCATCTTCCTCGCGCCGTCCTCGATCTTCCTGAAGGGGCCCAGGGACACAAACAAATAGACACAAATCCCCGGATCGCCCTCTATTTTTAAATTGTCTGTGATTTCGAGACCTGGGGCGAGGAGGAGGAGGAGGAGGAGGAGGAGGAGGAGGAGGAGGAGGAGGAGGGGGAGGGGGAGGAGGAGGAAGAGGAGGAGGAGGAGGATGAGGAGGAGGAGGAGGAGGAGGAGAGGAGGAGGAGGAGGAGGAGGAGGAGGAGGCCCGCCCGTGCTGGGGGTCGGCAGCGAGGGCGGTCGCCGACGCGCGCGGAAAGCCGGCAGGCCGCGCCAGGGCCGGGGCACCTGCGGTCGGGCCAAGGGCAGAAGCCCGTCCCTGAAGAGCACGAGGCCCTCCGCTGGCCGAGCTGAACACAAATATTCGAGGGTGCTCCCCCCCCACGAAGCACAAGGGCATCCCACAAGCACGAATGACGTGAGGGTAGGCCCTCCCCGAACCGACCTCGATCTCATACCTCGGCCCGACCGTGTTCTACCAGCTCGAGGAGGTCCCCCTTCAAGGGGCCCCAGGACACACAAAGAAATACACACAAATAAAACGACCCCCCATCTTTTCCTAGATTTTTTCTGGGTTTCTGTCTTCCCGCCCATTTTTTTTTTTCCCCATATTTTCTGGGGAATCGACGATTAATTGTGTCTGTGGGTTTTTTCCCCTCCTGATCCCTGTGCCTCACGAGAGAGGAGGGCGGCCGAGGAAGGAAGAGCAGGGCGAGGAGCAGCAGCTGCAGGCGGGACAGGCGCACGCCAGGTAGCCAGGCAAAGACGGGGGCGGCCGCGGAGGAGGAACGCGGCGCGGGGGAGGGGCTTCGGGCGTAGAGTAAAACGACGCGAAGATCGGGACAAAATCGGATCGGGATAACTCGAAATCTCTGAGAATCGGCGGGTTTGGAGGATGTATTGGGCGCCGCGGTCGCTCCAGAGCGTTCCGGAACGCTCTGAGAGCGCTCCGGAACGCTCTGGAGCGATTTATCCCGATCCTAGCCCTGTTTTATAGAGGTAGGTCGGGCCCGCCTTAGTGGGCCCTGGAAACGACAAGGCCGTTTTTTACTGGTTCCGTTTTGCCGTTTTCTTGCCGGTTCCGACGCCGTTGTTTTACCGGTTTCGTTGCCGTTTTTTGACCGGTTCCGGCTCCGGTTCCAATCCTGGAGCCGTTTTGTTTGCCGTTTCCGGTCGCCGTTTTTGTTGCCGTTTCCATTTTCAAGGGACGCTTTCTCGGAAACGGTGAAAAAACGGCCATGCCGTTTCCGGGGCCCACCAAGGGCACGCCTTCCTCCGGGCGGATTTGGGAAGAAAAACCAGACAGAGTGAGAAAGTACGAGAAAATAGCAATAGTCAAAGGATGGAAAGGGATCGCCCCCAGATTCTGTCTCGAACTGTTCTTGGATACTCCTCCTGTAGAGATACATGCCAAACTGAAGCCTGGAGGATCTTCGGAAGGGGAACTGGGACACACAGAAAAATGGACACAAATAACCAGATTCCCCACATTTTCCCGCCATTTTCTGGGCTTCTGTCTTCCCCCCCACTTCCCATAGTTTCCCATCTTCTCTGGGGACTCGACGATTCATTGTGTCTGTGTGTACTTTTTGTTCCCCTCCTCCTCCTCCTCCTCCTCCTCCTCCTCCTCCTTCTCCTCCTCCTCCTCCTCCTTCTCTTGTTCCTGCTTCTTCTCCTCCTCCTCTCCTCCTCATCTTCTTCCTCCTCCTCATCTTCCTCTTGTTCCTCCTCCTCCTCCTCCTCCTCTTCCTCCTCCTCTTTCCTCTTGTTCCTCCCCTCCTCCTCTTCTGTTCCTCATCCTCCTCTCCTGGTCCTCCTCCTCCTCCTCCTCCTCCTCCTCCTCCTCCTCTCCTCCTCCTCCCCCATCCTCTCTTCTTTGTTCCTCCTCCTCCTCTCCTCCTCCTCCTCCTCCTCCTCCTCCTCCTCATCTTCCTCTTGTTCTTCCTCCTCCTCCTCCTCCTCCTTCTCCTCCTCCTCCTTCTCCTCCTCGCCACGAGGCGGGCGCGCGAGCGGCCTCGGGCACCCACAGCGGGTGCACCGGGGGGAGGGGGCTGGGCGGCCGGTGCGAGCTGCCCGGGGGAGGGGCAGCGCGGGTCCCACCAAAGTTTTAAGTCGGGCGTGTCCCCCCTGCAGGGGGGAATTTTTGACGACAAATACACAAATATTCGAGAGAAAGACCCCAAAATGGTCAAACAATACTCCAAAAAGAGTTCCCCGGACTATTTTTGACTATTCCCCCCCGTAGAGGGACAGGCCCGACTTAACACCAGACCTGGCCATCGCTCGGACGTCCATTCCCGGTGCTCTGTTCGGTCTCGTGCGTGGCTTTCTCGCGGGGTGCTCCAGGATGCTCCTTGATAGCCCCCGCTGAGAAGAACAGTGCACACGCCCGAGCGATGCCAAGAGAACGAGCCTGAGACGAAGCACCCGCTCCCAGGAACTGTTTATATATATATATATATATATATATATATATATATATATATATCCGGACAGAGCGGACGACATGCTTCCGCAAGTCTGGGGAAACTGGCGCATGCCGATTCCGCTACTCCCTGGACCTCTCCCGGGCTGCGTTCTGATCAGAGTTTCGTAGAGGGGAATCCAGGCATGGCGCCAAGGGCCTCCCAGGAGGCCCGAGAACGCGAAAACGAGGGAAGGGCAGCGGTATCAATACCTCTTCCTCTTCTGATGTCCTCCGTCCCTCCCCTGAGGGGCATCGAGAAGGGGGGTTGGGCCTAGGGGGGAGACATCGACCTGGAATCGGCGGTGCATCGCCGATAGACTGGCGATAGGCCCCCGATAGCAGATCCCCACGCTCCTGGGCAGGTTGTGGCTCTGTTGGACCCTCGTCGGCGATGTATGGCCGATTGGGGGTCGATGCATCCCCCCTTTCTCGGGCGCGCGCTAACATGGATTACAGTGGAGGCCATCCACAAGAAACCTTCCACAAGGAACCCAGCCCTGAGACCCCAGGACGTCCGTTGGTCTTCGGTGGAAACCTCACGCTTTCCATCGCGAAGAACCATCGAGACCCAAAAAACAAAGGGCACCCTGGAGGCAAGCGAGGTGCTTCTGGGCATGGGTTTCCACTGTAGTGATTCGTGGATCTGGCGATAGGTCGGGCAAGGATTTTGGCAAACGTTTAAAACTAGTTCATATTTTGCAAAAAATAATCAAAACCATAAATCAACAGTTCGTCCCCAGACTACTGTTTGACTATTTTTGGCCATTCCTCCTGTAGAGGGACATGCCCGACTTAACCCTAGTCTTCACCCCCCTCTTGGCCGCCCCCGACGTGGATCGGGTGAGGCACCCCCGACACACGAGGCCGGATGCCGCCGCGTCTGGCGACGGCGCTCGCCGATTGCGCATGGACACGAAGCCCGTCGCCAATCCACGCGCTGCAATCCATGCTAGCGTTCCCTCGACTGTCCCTATCCCACCCCCCTTTCCCTCTCCCTATATCCTCCTCCTCCTCTTCATCCTCCTCACCCTCTTCATCCTCCTCCTTCTCCTCCTCCTCCTCCTCGTCCCTATCACACCCTCTTTCCCTATCCCCTCATCCTCCTCCTCCTATCCTCCCCTATCCCTATCCTCTTTCCCTATCCCTCCTCATCCTCCTCCTCCTCCTCCTTCTCCTCCTCCTCTCCTCCTCCTCCTCCTCCTCCTCCTCTCCCTATCCCCCCCTATCCCCATCCCTATCGCACCCTCTGTCGTTGCCCCCAGCCCCCCTGGTTCGAGCGCGCCCCCCCCAGCCTGCTCTGGTCCGGGCGGCGCGGGGGGGCAACGGCCTTCACGCTCTCCAGCAGGCCCTTGCAAACTGGGATCACGATGGCCGGTCGCCCGGCCTGTGGAGGAGCGAATTTCAAAAGGAAACTGAGGAGAAGGACAACGAGGAGGAGGAGGAGGAGGAGACGGAGGAGGAGGAGGAGGAGGAGGAGGAGGAGGAGACGGAGGAGGAGGAAGGGGAGGAGGAGGAGGAGGAGGAGGAGGGGGAGGAGAAGGAGGAGGAGAAGGAGGAGGAGAAGGAGGAGGAGGAGGAGGAAGAGGAGGAGAAGGAGGAGGATACATAATAGCTGCCATCCTCCCCCCCTGGATTCTCGGATCGGCGCTGCCCCCCTCCCCCCCCCCTGGCGCGCGGAGCGCGCCAAGGGCGGCGCCGGAGGCGTCGCCAGGGCGCCCAAGCGACGATCCAAGAAATCCTCGAGGAGCTCCGAAAGCTTATGCATATGTCGTTTGTCTACACTCTACTCTGTTCCCTTCCTGCTTCCTCCTGCTCCTGCTGCTCCTCCCCCTGGCGACTTCGAAAGGGGTGGTTTGCACTTGGCGTGGGTAGCAATCGCACCTTGGGGAGAGGGCGAGGACCTCGACAGAGTTCTCCGCGGCGCCCCGAGGAGGCCCGACGAGGGCAGCGGGGTGCCCCCTAAGCTCCAACCGACGCAGATCGCAAAGCACACCCTGGCGTAACCACACCCTTTGCAATCGCCGATCCTCCTGCTCCCTCCCCTTTCCATCCTGCTCCCTCCTCATCCCTCTTGGGGGAATTCAAAGGTACCGAAACCGCTACTCCCCGGATCTGTCCCGATGTGCGCTCTGACTAGAATTCCGAAGCGAAACCAGCAGTGGCGAAGGGGGCCTCCCAGGAGGCCCAAACAGGCGAAAACGAGGCAAGGCCAGCGGTACCAGGATGCCTTTTCCTCCTCTGACCTCTTGCTTCCTCCTGCTTCTGCTCCCCCCCCCCCCCCTGCTCCTCCCGGCCGAGGTGCAGACGGGAAGAGAACGCCACGGGAGAGCCGAGCACGAAGGGCCTGGGCGTCCTCCTCCGACGCCCTGACCACCTTCACGAGCGTGCGGGACTTCGGCTCCCGCGCCGCGAAGACGTGCCCGACGAAGCTGCTCTGCACGGCAGACTTGCCGGGGGGCAGGTTCTCGTTCGTGACCTTCTCGGCGCCCCGGGTGTCGATCCAGACGATCTGGCACGGCCCCCCTCCTCCCTCCTCCCTCCTCCACTCGCCCGGCTCCGGGCCCCGAAGCCATCACATGTCGATCCGGCATGGAACATGCGACAGGAAGACAGGGTGCGGGGCTCAGGTCGTGATGTTTGCAATGTTACAGTTTGGTAGTTGTCTTTGTAACGTCGGATCTGAGGGTCCCTCCCCTCCTGCTGCTCCTCCTGCTGCTGCTGCTGCTCCTCCTCCTCCTCCTCCTCCTCCTCCTCCTCTCTCCTCCTCCTCCTCCTCCTCCTCCTCCTCCTCCTCCTCCCCCTGACTCTCCTCCTCCTCCTCCTCTTCCTCCTCGTCTTCCTCCTCCTCCTCCCTCCTCCTCCTCCTCCTCCCCTGACTCTCCTCATCCTCCCCCTCCTTTTCCTCCCCCTCCTCCTCTCCTCCTCCTCCCCTCTCCTCCTCCTCCTCCTCCTCCTCTCCTCCTCCCTCCTCCTCCTCCTCCTCCTACTCCACCTCGCTTTCCCCTCTTCTTCCTCCCCCTCCTCCTCTCCTCCTCCTCCTTCTCCTCCTTCTCCTCCTCCTCCTCCTCGTCCTCCTCCTCCCTCTTCCCCTTCCTCCTCCTCCTCCTCCTCCTCCTCCTCCTCCTCCTCATCCTCCTCCTCCTCCTCTCCTCCTCCTCCTCCTCCTTCCTCCTCCTCCTCCTCCTCCTCCTCCTCCTCCTCCTCCTCCCTCTCTTTTGTCCTCTACTCCTCTGTCAGGTGGGCGTCTTGTAGGCTTCAGGAGGTTTCAGGTGCGATAGTTCTCCTGGAGCCACACCCCCACTTCCCGCAGGCTGCCGCCGCCGCGGCCACCTCAGACTTCCCTCTTGTCCTGAGGCGTTTCCGTTCACAGGCGCGCCCCTGGTGGCCCACCGGGCGGGGGCTTGTCCAAGAACCACAGCCTCGGGGGATCGATCTTCGGGGACAGTGGCAGGCGGCGGTGAATGATGGCGGACATACCGTCGGCCCGCATCAGTAGGACGCGCGACAAGGATGCAAGGGCCTGGGACGCCCACTTCGACGCTTTTCGAGCGGGGCGGGGCCAACGAAAGTGGCCAAGGATGGACCGAGGAGACAAGGATACACGGGGTACCCTTGGGACGGCTGTCCATCCTTAATTACTAAGCGGGTTGACTGTACTTGCCACCCCCGCCCTGGGCGCGACCATATCTAGAGGCCTCCTGGATGGGGTCGGAGTAGATGGGGTCGGAGGATCGCGCCGCATCACCGATACATCGACGATGCATCGGCGATGCACCGGCGATGCATCGTCGACGTCGGCGCTGCATCGGCGACGTCGACGTGAAGCCAGTCGGGCTCCACATCGAGCCGCATCGGCGATGCATCGGCGATCCTCCGACCCCACCTACACCCCGCGAAATGCTTAAGAAATCATGGGTTAAGAAATTCATAGTCTCAGAACTTGAGTAAAAACCCAGAATGTCTCTTCAAATCTTGGGATTTACATTGAAACATTAAGAATAATCGAGACTCTGGACGAAAACTTAGGTTTTCTTAAGCATCGCCTAAGGAGGCCTAGAATATCCGCATCCACCCCGCCGCCTGCCGAGGCCCCCGCAGGTGGATCCCCCCGGGCGGTGGCCGTGGCTGCAGAGCCGCGCCTCGGCTCGCCGCCGCCCTCCTCCTCCTCCTCCTCCTCCGCCTCCTCCTCCTCCTCCTCCTCCTCCTCCTCCTCCTCCTCCTCCTCCTCCTCCTCCTCCTCCTCCTCCTCCTCCCCCTCCTCCGCCTCCTCCTCCTCCTCCGCTGCCCGGGCCGAGGCCTCCAGCGGCACCGGCGTCTGGTTCTGGAACGTGAGCTCGACTTTGGTGGAAGCCGAGGACGCACGGGCGCTCTTCTGGCCGACCTCCCGTGGGCACGCCTGCGGAGGGAGAGGGAGGAGCCACCAAGGGAGGAGTGAGGAAGTTTGACGGGGGGAAGAACATGTGCAGGGCGGAAAGGAGATAGAAGACAGGAAAACAAAGAAGCAGAGGGGAGGGAGCCACAGGCATGAGCGAAGGGAGAATTGAGGACGGAGGAAGATGCGATGGGACCAAAAGACGAGAGTGAATACAACAAGAACCATAAAGCATAATGAATGTGAGCGGAGCCTAGAGGCAGAACGACAGAGCATGTAGCGGGAGGAGGCAGGGACTCAGACAATTTGACAACCACAGAAAGCAAGATGCGGGAGCAAGGAAAAGGGAGGAAGGAGGAAGACCAGACGAAAGAGGAGCGAGAGATGGCAGGAAGTGGGGAGCAGTAAGAAAGCAGATGAAGATGCAGGATATCCTCAACAACAAAGCGAGAACGCTATCTGGTGCCCTCTTGGAGCCTCGTGGGGTCTTTTGGGGGTTCTTGGGGGGCTTGAGGGCAGGGAGGAAGGATGAAGGAAGTAGGCTAGTGAACACAGGAGGGGGACTGGGGGGTGGGGAGCGGGGAGGAAAACTGTGAGGGACAACAGCGGTAGCAAGAGCAGGCGCGGCAACAGGACGTCCACGACTGGGAGTATGCGACGGCGCGAACATCTGAAAACTTGTCCCCTTGGTGGCTCTCTTCGGTGCCTCTTGGGGCGCTGCTGGAGCCTCTTGGGCGTCTCTGCGGGGCATCTCTCGGGGATCTCGGGGGACCTTGGGACCATCTTCGGGGGGTGAGGCTCCCAACGCCTCGTGGACTTCCCCATCTTGGAGCCCTTGCCATCGCTCGGACGTCCATCCCCCGTGCGCTTGTCGGCTTCGTGCGCACATCTTGTTGGCGAATGATCCCGGATGCTCTTCGATGGTCCTCGCCGAGAAGACACGCATACGTCCAGCGATGCCAAGAGCATTCTTCGGATCTTCTTGGAGCAATCGTAGGGGCCTCGCGGGATAGGACCAGGGCCTCTGGGCAATCCTGCATAAATTCTCCAGCCCAGGAGGAGGAGGATCACAAATCAAGATCAGGATCATGGGTAGCACTACGCTGCGACATGTAATTATTCACCCCCTCCCTATTATGGGAAACAGCCTTATGGACGGGTTGGGGTCCAAACAATATCGGGAAAATGAGTACTCACCCGCTGCGGCCACCGCTGAGGCCTCCGCCGTCGTCGTCGACGCCGCCGTCACCGTCATCTTACCTTCTCCTCATCCTCTTCCTCAACTCAGAGTCCTGTTCTGCTTGTACGCGCAGGCCTATCGTGGGAGGACGAGGGGGAGGAGGTGATGGACGAGTCTTATTACCAGCCAAGGGCTTGGACGGGTGGGACGGCAGCATTCAGGACCTTCTGCGGCTCGAGGAGGGAGAGGAGGAGGAGGAGGAGGAGGAGGAGGGGGAGGAGGAGGAGGAGGAAGAGGAAGAGGATGAGGAAGAGGAGCAGGATGATCCAGATCAGGAGGCCTAGGATCTAGAGGAGGATGAAGAGGAGGAGGCCCCTGAGCCTGTCCCTTCCTGAGCCTGTCTGCCCCCAGGCATGTGATGACCAAATTTGTTCAATACCTGCTCCACGGAGTCCCAACCCATTCCCCAGGACTGGCCTCTCATCCCGAGAACGCTCTTTGGGTGCCGCGAGGGCCCTCCGAGGCCAAAAAAACAGCTCAAACAACCGTCCGTCGTGAGTTTTTTGGTATGTCTGTCTGTCTGTCTGTCTGTCTGTCTGTCTGTCTGTCTGTCTGTCTGTCTGTCTGTATGTATGTATATACAGATATATACATATATGATATAGCCATCGCGCGCGCTTCGCACGCGCTCAAGTTCTAGCTAGACTAATTCATGTAACATCTTGTTTGGCGTTCCTTGCATCTAAAACCCTCTTGGAGGCACTGCGCAAACCTCGGAAGTGTACAGAAGGGGACAATACGGAAACGCAGAAACCATGCAATTTCCTTTTAGACTTTCGATACTTTGGAGCCCTCCAAGGCTTCCGGGGGTCTGCGAGAGTAGACTGAGGGGGGGCGGGGCGGATGAGAAAAAAAAACAACACAACTAATCGTGGGAACCACTTGTTTCTTCAAATTGCCAGGCCTGGGCTGTGGGTGAGAAGTCTCATGGATGCATGCTGGTGGCGTCTTGGGGGTCTTTCGGGGCCTCTTGGAAGGCTCTTGTTGGTGCCTCCTGGGAGCCTCCCGGGAGTCTCCGAAAGCATCTGGTGGGCGCCTCGAGAGTCGTTGCGAGAACCTAGGGGCTATCTTGAGGCAAAGGGCTCGAAAGGCTTGGGCAGGTCCTCTCTTTTTGTTCCCTCTTGGCACGCGCGCGCTGAAGTTCTAGCTAGCTAGGCTGGATCGGCGAACTCATGGGATCTCGATGTTTGACTGCCTTTTTTCCCGGGCAGCCAAGAGGACACGAAGACGATCCAAGAGAGTTCCAAGACAGCGTCAGAGACTTTAAAAGCATTCCCGAACAATACTTGACATGTGACCCCGAAGTCTTGATGGGGCCCGGCGTGAAGTTCAAAAAAGGGGATCACTGGAATTTCCTTTTTTTGAAGTCGGGCCTCCTACAATGTAATGCGCAGGAAACTGGGGCCTAAGGGGCCTGCAGGGGGCTCCTGAGACGCAGCTTCGAGGCCTCTGCGGAGCTGTTTTGGGGGCCTCGATGGTTTTTGTTGGGGGGGCTCTCAGGGGTCTGGGGTTTTTTGGGGGCCTCTGGGGGTCCTGGAGGCCTCTCGGGGGCCTTTTGGGGCCTCCTGGTCCTGCTTTCGGGCCCATCTTGGGCATATCCTGGAGCCCTCTTGGGCGCCTCTTGGGCAGTCTTGAGGCTCTCTGGGGTCATCTTGGGCTCTCTGTGGGGCCTCTCCGGCCGTCTTGGGGCGGTCTTGGGGGCCTCTTCGGTGTCCTGGAGCGTTGGAAGCTTGAACATGCGAGAAAGCCAACAAATACTATAACAACACATGATAGTCAACGATTTTGGCCTCTTCGGGCCCTCTCGGGACGTCACTCGGAGCTCTCTTGGGACTCTCAAGGACCTGGGGCTTGTTGGGGGCATCTGGGGGGGTCCTTGAGTCTTCTCGCGGGTCTCTTGGGGCCTCCTGCTCCCGCCCTCGGGCCTGTTTTGAGCGGTCCTGGGGCGCTCTTGGGCCGTCGTGGGCGCCTCTCGGGCAGTCTTGAGGCTTTCTGGGGCCGGTGTGGGCTTTCTCAGGGGCCTCTTTTCGGGCGTCTTGGGGCGGTCTTGGGGGTCTCTTCGGTGTCTTGGAGCGCTGCAAGCTCGGAAATGCGAGAAGGCCCAAAACTTAGAAAAAAACACCAGTGCAAAGGAAAGTTTGGACCCTCTTCGGGCTCTCTCGGGACGGCTCTCGGAGCTCTCTTGGGCTGTTTCTTGAACCTCGAGGAGCTTTTTGGGGGGATTCTCAGGATTCTGGGGCTTGGTGGGGGCCTCTGGGGATCCAGGAGGAGGAGGACGGAGGAGGACGGAGGAGGAGGAGGAGGAGGAGGGGGAGGAGGAGATGCGAGGGGGAGGAGGAGGAGGAGGAGGAGGAGGAGGAGGAGGAGGAGGAGGAGGAGGAGGAGGAGGAGGAGGAGGAGGAGGAGGAGGATGGAGGAGGAGGAGGAGGTGGAGGCTTCTCGGGGGCCTCTTGGGGCCTCCTGCTCCCGACCTCGGGCCTGTTTTGAGCGGTCCTGGGTCGCTCGTGGCCCGTCTTGGGCGCCTCTTGGGCAATCTTGGGGATCTCTGGGGTCGTTTTGGCCTCTCTTGTGGGGGTTCTTCCGCCGGCCTGGGGCGGTCTTGGGGGCCTCTTCGGCTGACTTAGCTCGAAAACGCGAGAAGACCAACAAGACCAACAACTAAATCAACTCAACATGAAAACTCGGGACGCCGCTCGCAGGTCTCTTGGGGCCTCTTGGAGGCCTTCTGGCTAACGCTCCGGCGATCCCGGGAGCCTGGAGAGCCGTCGGAAGGCTTTCTTGGGCTGCTTGACAGCGTCTTCGGCTGCTTTTTGCGTTCAGGGGGCTCTTTGGGGTTGTCTTGGGCCGTCCTGGGGCGTTTTGAAGCCCTCCTGGGAGGCCCGGGGGCGCAGCACCAGGAGTTGCCCTAGATGTTCCCGAGGTGTGGGACGCTCCTGTAATATTCAAAAATTTGAAGCCCTCGAAGGTAGCATTGGGTCTTTCTTGGCCGGTGACGGGGGCCACAATTGCTGCCTGTTGTGCAAAAAGGAATTCCAAGAGTTATTTTTTTTTCAAACTGCCATGCCTGGGCCGTGGGTCAGAAGTTTTCAGGATACAGGCCGTGGACTGTTGGGACGCCTCTGGGAGCCTTTTGGCAGCGTCTCGGGGGCTTTTCGGGGCCTCTTGGAAGGCTCTTGGTGCCTCCTGGGAGCCTCCCGGAAGTCTCCGAAGTCATCTGGTGGGTGCCTCGAGAGTCTTTGCGAGAACCCTGGGGCCATCTTGAGGCAAAACGCTCGCAAGGCCTGGGCAGGTCCTCTCGTGTGGCTCACTCTTGGCGCGCGCGCGCTGACGTTCTAGCTAGGCTGGATCGGCGAACTCATGGGATCTAGACGTTTGACTGCCTTTTATCCCGTGCAGCCAAGAGGACACGAAGACGACCCAAGAGAGTGCCAAGACAACGTCAGAGAGTTCAACAGCAATCCCGGAACATGTTTGCAATGTGACCCCGAAGTCTTGATGGGGCTCGGGATGAACTGGAACAACAAACAATGACTGGATATCCTCTCTCTCTTTTTTTCAAGTGGGGCCTCCTAACATGTAGTGCGCAAGGATCGGGGGGGGTCCTGAGAGGCGTGCAGGTGGCTCGTGGGAAGCAGTTTGGAGGCCGCTGGGGGGCTGTTTGGGGGCCTCTTGGGGTAACTTTTGGGACTCTTCGGGGCTCTTGGGGGCCTCTTCAAGCGCTTCGGGGAACTCTTTTGGCCTCCTGGGGGCCTCTTGGAGCGGAAAACCGGGATTGTTGATGTGCGTTCCCCTGTTGGGCTTCTTTTCGGGCCATCTTGGGTTCTCTTGGGCTGCCTCGGGGTGCTCTTGGGCCGTCTTGGGGCCTTCGTGGCCCGTCTTGGAGCCATCTTTGGGGCTCTTGGGCGGTCTTCGGGATTTTCTCGGCCGTTTTGGGGCATCCCTGGGAGAGCCGGGAGCGCGGTACAGAGAATTGCTCCTAGATGTCGCGGAGGTGGGGGACGCTCCCCGAGGGGGGGGGGGGGGGGCGTATTTTTTATACGTGTGAAGCCCAAGCGCGACTGGGCCCCCATCCCTGGCATTTGCCCCTCAAGAGCAGGGACCGACCGTCCCAGCATTCCTATCGCTAGGCTGCCACGAAATGTTCCCAGCACCGCGAATACGTTCTAAGAACACAAGAAATTCTCTTAGAACGAAAACACGACGTGTTAAAATAGGATGGCCTCGGTCAGAAATGTTCTAAGACCATGTCATGCAGACCACTACTTGTTCTTAGCGTTTTATTATATATATATATGCCAAGCGCTAACTATAACATGGGAGAGACGAGACACTAGTTCAAGCGCGGACGGCCCTGACTCTTAAACCGTGCAGAGCTTGACCGTCAAGGTATCACGCGCACGCCCCGAATACCTCCGCCACTCTACATCCAAAACTGTAAAGCACTGGAAGGGCTCAAGCAACACCTCGTCCTCTTGCGGATACTTGGACCAATCGAGGATCGGCGCACCCCGGTCAGACGTGTTGATGATGAAACGGACGGGGACGCCGCAAGCTTGAGTGGCATTGTATTTCCCATGTGCGAAATCGAGCGATTGCTTCTTGTCAAGCGACGTGCTGGAGAAGGCCGCCCATGACACGCGGCTGCCCAATCTGTTCTCTCTCCGAATGTCTTGTTCCTGCGCCAGAAGACCTCGTTACAAGACCTGCCGCTTCCCGCAAGCAGCTTGCATTTTCTGAATGTACGACCATAGGCACGCAACCAGCCGGCCATACTTCTCGAAGAGTAGATCCCATTCGCCCGAACGCATGAGCTGATTCACCTCGTACGCAAAGATCGTGCCAACTGTGTACGCGTACGGTCGACTCATACCTGTTGACCTGCGAGCCACAAGGGAAGATCTTATGGAAGGGGTGCTTAGGGACCCATTGCCTCGTTTGCAGAAAGCCATACTTCTGAAATTCAAAGATTACCTGCTCATCAACCTTGACTCGGGAGATCGAGTCAAGGAATGTCCGTCTGGAAAAGCTCACCGTTGCTGCCTGTAGGGCACAAGTTGGGAGCCGATGCCGGTCCCCACAACTTCCGACTTCATCCATGACCAACACACCCTGTAGATGCTCTTGGCAATACTCGCCATTGACAGCCTTCTTGTAACATCTTGCGCACTGGTGTTGCTTGCAATAGTCCGAGTTCATGGGCCGTGGCGCAGTGCACCCTTGCGACTTGCACCTCAATGGGGCACATGCCCTGCAATACCTGCCGACCACCGCTTCCTCGTAGCATGACACGCACTGATGACCAGGGCAGTAGTTGGAATTCCGAGGCTTCTCACCAAGGCAACCGGATCTCTGACACACATGCTCTCTGCAAAACCTGCCGAAGGCGGCTCTGTCGTAGCATCTTGCACACTGATGATGCTCACGAAAATCCGAGTTCAAGGGCCGCCGTGCAGTGCACCCCTGCGATCTGCACCTCAATGGGGCACATGCCCTGCAATAGCCACCGACCACCGCTCCCTCGTAGCACAACGAGCACTGGTGATGAGGGCAATAGTTGGAGTTCCACGGTGTCTCAGCAAAGCAACCCGCGGCTCGGCACAAGGACTTGTATACTCGCGACTCCGGCTCCCTTTTAATCGCCAAACCAAGCAGCCAGGTCACGAACCCTACAAACACAAACCACAGAAACATGAAGAATAAGTCATCGTCGCGCATGGTGCTCTGCTCTGCGTTTGCCCTTCTGGGCTTGTCCTAGGCCGGGCTTGATGCTTGAGCCAAAAGGCTACGGTTGTTCTTAGCGTATTCTTGGGCGGGCCTATAGGCAAGCCAAGACGCTTCGCCACTGCTAGAACCCGAGATCCCTGAGATCCGACGTTGCAAGAAATCCGCCGACCCCTTGGGGATCATCGGCGTGTGAGATGCTTCCCCCTCCCCAAACCCCTCCCCCGGGAGCCCGGTCCGGTCGATTTGGAGGGGGGGGGGGGGGTCGAGCGCGAGCGGGGGGGGTCCGGGACGAGCGGTTCACGGGGCTTTTCCGAGCCCAAGAGGGCCTCAAGACGGGCCAAGAAGCCCCCAAGAGGCCTCCAAGACGGCCCACGAAGGCTCCGAGACGCCAAACGACCGGTCCAAGACGCCCACGATGGCCCCAAGACGGGCCAAGAGGTCTCCAAGACGGCCTCCGAGGTCCCAAACAAGCCTCCCAAGAGGACCCCAAGAGTCTAAAATTGTTGATTTTCCATAGTGTTTTTCGATGTTTTTTGCTTTTCCGCCTTTTCGGCTTCCCGACGCTCCAAGACGGCCAAAGAGGCCCCCAAGAAAGCCCCAAGATGGCCCAAGAGGCCCCCAAGACGGCCTCCAGACGGCCCAAGACGGCCCCAACACGGCCCAAGAGGTCCCCAAGACGGCCCAAGAGGGCTCCAAGACGGCACCAAGAGGGGCCCAAGAGGGCGACCAAACATGTTGAAACTCTAGCTTTCTGCCCCCAGGAGCCCCAGGGGGCCCCAAGAGTGCCCCAAGAGGCCCCCAGAGGCCCTCACGAGGCCGCCCAGACGCCCCAAGGAACCCCCAAGAAGCACCCCAGAGGCTCCGAAACGGCCCCCAAGTGGCTCCAAAACTCGCTTTTCACCCCTTCGCAGCATCTACTACCCCCAGATTGGCATAAACAAGGGGTCGGCGGTGTGGCGTAAGCCTAAGAATCACGCCGAGAGCCCTGAACCTCATCTTTCCACGTCATCATTCGCGCTGGATGGATCTGGGAGGGTCCCGGGGCCCGAAAGGGAGCGAAAACGCCGGTCTTGCAAAAGCTACAACGTCAGGATCTTGGGGGTCGACTGGGCCCTCTGCCTGCCGTTGCCACCCCCAAAAAACCCGCCTCCATTCACAACCCGGCGAGGCGTGGAGGTCGACCCACAGCTCGCGCCGCCCAAAAACCTACCGTTATCCCCCCCTCTTATATATATATATAATATATATATATATATATATATATATATATTATATATTATATATATATCCTTTTTACCTATCAAATTACAAGGAAAACCCCGGCATGTCACCGACCCCCCCCCCCACATGGACCCCACATGAATCCCACAGGCCCCCAAGAGAGCCCCACAATGCTTCGAGGCGGCCCAAAATACCCCGAAGAGAGCGACACGAGGCCTACATCGGGAGCCTAAGACAGCAGAAGACACTTCCGAGACGTCCTCTGCAAGGCCCACGAGGCCCCAAGACGGCCCCAGAGTGCTCCAACAAGACCAAACATGGGCTCAAGACGGCCCGGGATGCCCCCGCAAAGACCTCCAATACGGCCTCAGCAGGCCAAAAACCTTAATTTTACATTGGTTTTTGAACGACTCTGTGCTTCTCGCGTTTTCTGTCTACGAACGGCCCAAGAATGGTCTGCGAGCTTCCGAGGTCGCCCCGAGATGACCTCCAGGCGGCCCAATGGGGCCCCAAGATGGGCCAATAAAGCGCCAAGAAAGCCAGGGAGCGCCCAAAAGACCCCTAAAAGACCTCCAAGAGGCCCCCAACAGAGCCACGGGATGCTTCAGAGAGGGCCCGAGAGAGCCCCAACACGGCCCCAGGACGGCCCAAGCCCCCCAGACAGCCCACGAGGGCCAGGACAGCCCAAGAAGGCCCTCCGATGGTATACAAAAGCACCAACAGGAGCTCCACTCAGTCTTAGAGCCGTCAAATTCATTACACTCTGATTGACCTGAGCCGTCGTCCTTGGCTCGGCTGGCCCGCGCGCCGAATGGGCCCGCGTGGCAGAGAAGGAAAAGGAGCAGGAGGCGGGACGGAGGAGAAAAAAGGCGGAAGAGGAAGGAACGGTGAGGATTGCGAGAAACAGGAGGGGCCCCAGAAAGACGGAAGGAGGGCACGGAGGAGCAGGAGGAGGAGGGGGCAAACGGCGGAAACCGAAGACAGCTTTCACTGGGCCCCGTGCTCTCGCCGAGGCGCCGGCCACATCTCTCATTCAATATCGTGTTGCCGCTTCTCTCGCGGGACTCCCAGCCTCTACCAGGTCAGCATCCCGTCCTCCAGCATGCGGCCGCCGACTTTCCTCTCAATTCTTGACGCTTCGCGTATCCCCACCAGTCTCAGCCGACCCCGCGTACGGCGGTGGTACCTCATGCTGATTGGTTCAGCCTTCAGCGTGTCGCTTCGGTGCTACCTGTCTGATCGGCTAGGTTGGCTGCGCGGACTGGCGCCGACAGGGCGACTCTTCCGCTGCGTAGCACTGCGGCTGCTTCACCTCGGTGTGGCTGGCGCCCAGGTGCGTTCGCCTTAATGTGGAGCATTTTGCATAATGCATGTGCACACCTCGCTTTCTTTGCGAATTATTACTGCAGGTGCGTTGCCTGTTGTTGCTAATTCGCCTCGCCTGCTGGCCCAGACGACGCCTTCCGCTCCCTGTCCGCCGCCTCGGAGCCGCCGATCAAAAAAGTATCCCCACCAGCCCGTCCAGAATTGATCGCCAGCTTTCCCGAGGCCTGTTGGAGGCTATCCTGAGCCATGCTCGGCTAGAGGCTGTCGGAAGCTATTCTGAGCCATGCTCGGCTATGTCGGGCCATATTCAGGCTGTCTTGAGGCCTCTTGGAGATCTGTCGGAGGTTATCTTGAGCCATGCTTGGCTATGTTGGGCCATTTCGGAGGCCATCTTGAGCTATCTGGGGCTCTCTTGGAGCCATTTTGGGCCAAAAAGGGCGGGGTGGAGAATCTTCAGGAGAGTCTGGGAGGCCTCTCGGGGCCGTCTGGGGCCCCACGGTTCAAAAAAAACAGGGGTCCTCAATTCAGGTCCCCCCCATAGGAGGCTCTCAAACGGCGTCTTGGGGACGTGTTGGAGCGCTCTTCGGAAGCCTCTTGGGCGATCTTGGGGCCGTCCTGGGCCTTCTTGGGCCCCTCTTGGGGCTCTCTTGGGCCATCTTGGGGCCATCTTGATGCCTCAGGGGCCCATCGGAAGCGAAAAGACGATAATGCCAAATACATTGACTTTCTTTAGGCTTTTGAAGCAGTTTGGCTTCTTGGAGGGCTCGAAGGGCACTTGGATCCGTCTTGAGGACTCTTGGAAGTGTGTCGGAGGCTATGTTGACCCATCTTGAGGTATCTTGGGCCATCTTGGAGGCCATCTTGCGACTTGGAGCGCCTCTTGGAACCATCTTGAACCATTTTGGACGCTCTAACGCCTCGATCCCCCCCTCCAGGTCCAGGGGAAGGTTACCCCTCCCCCGAGCAGAGGAAGGAAGGGAAAAAGAGAAAACCAAACTCGCTCTACCACCGTAGCCCGAAAGGGCTGGTGGGACTTCCACCTATAGACTTCCAGCCTCCATCAGCTCAGCACTCCGACCTGTAGCGTCCGGCATCCGACTTTCCACCTTCACCTCCATTCAAGCGTCCACCAACGCTGCGCCCTGAGCCCCGCCCTGGGCGCTACCGCGCACTCGCCTCGCCTCGCCTCCGCTCGCACAATTCCCACACACACACACACCTCATTGAAATTAGCCTGACGGGGGACCCAACCATATGCAGGTGCGAGTACCGCAATAGTGATTCACTTTTTTCGGTGGCGATCCCTATGAGGCAACGAACCGTGCTAGGGGTGTGCCGACATGAATGGCGTGGTACACCACGCGAGCGAAAACGATGGATCTGAGTACGTAGGGAGACTGAGCGCGGGTGAATCTGCGCGCGCGTGCGTCTGACTGTGAATGAATCTGCGTGCGAGCGAGTCTACGTGCATGAATGCGAATATGACAAAGCGTGGTGCAATTGTGTATGAATGTCAATAGTTTGACAATGACTGCCTCTGAGTACTCGTGGCGCTGGGCGTGGCCGCCGCAAGGAGCTTCCCCGGGACACCCCGACGGCATCGCCCGCGCGCCGCGACGCCAATGTCGGCGCGCCCCGCCGCGAGGATCGCGCCCGCTTCCTCCCCTTCCTTTACTCCCTCTTTGCCCGCACACTCAAAAGTCCAAGGCTGCGGGCGCAGCGCAGCGCGGAGTCCCTGCGGCGCGCGCAGGTCGCCCCGGAGGGGTCCCAGCGACGCGCGCGGGTCGTCCACTGCGCGGAGCAAAGAGAGCTAGCTGGCTGGCTGATAGCGGGCAAGGCTCTTGCCGCTGGGCAGAGCGACGACGGGCGAGCGAGGCGCTGGGCAGAACGCAGCACGGAGCCCCCGCGACGCGCGCAGGTCGCCCCGGAGGGGCCCCAGCGACGCGCGCGGGTCGCCCGCTGCGCGGAGCAAAGAGAGCTGGCTGGCTAGGACCTGCGGTGGGGCTCCATATGGGGCCACGTAGCGCTGTACTGGGCAAGGGACACGCATGCGGACTGCGCCACGGGGACCTTCGGTGGAGTTCCCTATGGGGCCACGAAGCGTGTGAGGGGTGTGCCGAAATGAATGGCGAGGACGCATGCGGACTGTGCCACTGGGACCTTCGGCGGAGCTCCTTGGCGGGGACGCATGCGGACTGCGCCACGGGGACCGTCGGTGGAGTTCCTGTGGGGCCGCGAAACGTGTGAGGGGTGTGCCGAAATGAATGGCGAGGACGCGTGCGGACTGTGCCACTGGGGCCTTCGGCGGAGCTCCTGTGGGGCCACGAAACGTGTGAGTGGTGTGCCGACATGAATGACGGAAACGCATGCGGACTGTGCCACGGGGCCCTTCGGCGGAGCTCCTACGGGGCCACGAAACGTGTGAGGGGTGTGCTGAAATGAATGGCGGGGGCGCATGCGGACTGTGCCACCGGGACCTTCGGCGGAGCTCCTATGGGGCCACGAAACGTGTGAGGGGTGGGCCGACATGAATGGCGGAGACGCATGCGGACTGTGCAACCGGGACCTTCGGTGGAGCTCCCTATGGGGCCACGAAACGTGTGAAGGGTTTGCCGAAATGAGCGGCGGGGACGCACGCGGACTGTGCCAATGGGACCTTCGGCGGAGCTCCTGTGGGGCCACGAAACCTGTGAGGGGTGTGCCGACATGAGTGGCGGGGACGCATGCGGACTGTTCCACTGGAACCTTCGGCGGAGCCCCTAGGGGCCACGAAACGTGTGAGGGGTGGGCCGACATGAATGGCGGGGGCGCATGCGGACTGTGCCACTGGGACCTTCGGCAGAGCTCTTGTGGGGCCACGAAACGTATGAGGGGTGTCCCGAAATTATACACCCACAAAGGCCCTCGGTGGAGCTCCCTATGGGGCCACGAAACGTGTGAGGGGTGGGCCGAAATGGGTGCGCGGGACGCATGCGCACACACCCGCTGAGACCTTCGGTGGGGCTCCCTATGGGGCCACGAAACGTGCGAGGGGTGTGCCAAAATGGGTGTGCGGGACGCATGCGGGCACACCCACTGGGACCTTCGGTTGGTCTCCCTGTGGGGCCACGAAACGTGTGAGGGGTGTGCCGAAATGGGTGTGCGGGACGCATGCGGGCACACCCACTGGGACCTTCGGTGGAGCTCCCTATGGGGCCACGAAACGTGTGATGGGGTGTGCCGAAATGGGTGTGCGGGACACATGCGGGCACACCCTGGGACCTTCGGTGGAGGTGCCACGCGTGTGAGCTATGGTGGGGCGAAAACGTGTGAGGGGTGTGCCGAAATGGGTGTGCGGGACGCATGCGGGCACACCCACTGGGACCTTCGGTGGAGCTCCCTATGGGGCCACGAAACGTGTGAGGGGTGTGCCGAAATGGGTGTGCGGGACGCATGCGGGCACACCCACTGGGACCTTCGGTGGAGCTCCCTATGGGGCCACGAAAGTGTGAGGGGTGGGCCGAACATGGGTGTGCGGGACGCATGCGGGCACACCCACTGAGACCTTCGGTGGAGCTCCCTATGGGGCCACGAAACGTGTGAGGGGTGTGCCGAAATGGGTGTGCGGGACGCATGCGGGCACACCCACTGGGACCTTCGGTGGAGCTCCCTATGGGGCCACGGAACGTGTGAAGGGTGTGCCAAAATGGGTGTGCGGGACGCATGCGGGCACACCCACTGGGACCTTCGGTGGAGCTCCCTATGGGGCCACGAAACGGGTGAGGGGTGGGCCGAAATGGGTGTGCGGGACGCATGCGGGCACACCCACTGTGACCTTCGGTGGAGCTCCCTATGGGGCCACGAAACGTGTGAGGGGTGTGCCGAAATGGGTGTGCGGGACGCATGCGGGCACACCCACTGGGACCTTCGGTGGAGCTCCCTATCGAAGCGTGTGAGTTGTGCCGAAATGGGTGTGCGGGGCGCATGCGGGCACACCCACTAGGACCTTCGGTGGAAGCCACGTGTGAGGGGTGTGCCGAAATGGTGGGCGGGACGCATGCGGGCACACCCACTGGCGCCTTCGGTGGAGCTCCCTTATGGGCCACGAAACGTGTGAGGGGTGTGCCGAAATGGGTGGTGCGGGACGCATGCGGGCACACCCACTGGGACCTTCGGTGGAGGTTCCTATGGGGCCACGAAACGTGTGAGGGGTGGGCCGAAATGAGGTGTGCGGGACGCATGCGGGCACACCCACTGGGACCTTCGGTGGAGCTCCCTATGGGGCCACGAAACGTGTGAGGGGTGGGACGAAATGTGTGTGCGGGACGCATGCGGGCACACCCACTGGGACCTTCGGTGGAGCCCCCTATGGGGCCACGAAACGTGTGATGGGTGTGCCAAAATGGGTGTGCGGGACGCATGCGGGCGCACCCACTGGGACCTTCGGTGGAACTCCCTATGGGGCCACGAAGCGTGTGAGGGGTGGGCCGAAATGGGCGTGCGGGACGCATGCGGGCACACCCACTGAGACCTTCGGTGGAGCTCCGTATAGGTCCACGAAACGTGTGAGGGGTGTGCCGAAATGGGTGTGCGGGACGCATGCGGGCACACCCACTGTGACCTTCGGTGGAGCTCCCTATGGGGCCACGAAACGTGTGAAGGGTGTGCCAAAATGGGTGTGCGCGACGCATGCGGGCACACCCACTGGGACCTTCGGTGGAGCTCCCTATGGGGCCACGAAACGTGTGAGGGGTGGGCCGAAATGTGCGTGCGGGTCGCATGCGGGCACACCCACTGGGACCTTCGGTGGAGCTCCCTATAGGGCCACGAAACGTGTGAGGGGTGTGCCGAAATGGGCGTGCGGGACGCATGCGGGCACACCCACTGGGACCTTCGGTGGAGCTCCCTATGGGGCCACGACGCGGGTGAGGGGTGTGCCGAAATGGGTGATGACGATGATGATGGTGGGAGGAGGAGGGGGAGGAGGAGGAGAGGAGGAGAGGAGAAGAGACGCGGGCCACCGTCTCTTCAAAACGAGGACCCAACAACACAGGTTGGTTGGGACAAATGTGTTCTCGCCCGCGCCCAGAAACATCGTAGGTGCAAGGATCAAGATTAGAAGGCGAACCGCAGCGAGCCTTACAATCTTGTATATATATAAAACACATGTATATACTCATCTATATCTATATATATACACATACATACATACGCATATCCACATCTATTATCTGTATATATATATATATATCGAGAGAGAGGGATATGTCCGTACATCTATGTCTCGGAGGTGAGGGGGTGAGATCGAAGTGGAACGGAGAGCCCCCCTACCGGGAAATCGATTTCGGTTTTGTGTTCGTGCGTGCCGTGCGTGCGGGCGAGGCGAAGCTGCGTGGGCGGGCGAGATCAAGTCTCCTGTGGCTGAGGCGCGGCCGGACCAAATGTCTCCCTTCCGGGCGGCCGGTGGCCCGCGGTGTCCCGCCGGTGTCCCGTTGGTTTCCCGTTGTGGCGAGCTCGGCCGACCAAATGTCTCCCTTAAGGCGGCCGGTGGCCCGCGGTTGTCTTTGTATCCGCCGGGTGTCCTCACTGTGCTCCCGCGGTGTCCCGCGGTGCACCCGCCCCCCCCGGTGTCCCGCCGGTGTCCCGCGGTGTTTCCGCGATGATGTGATGATGTGATGATGATGATGATGATGATGATGATATGCTTGATGCTGATGATGATGATGTGATGATGATTGATGATGGTGATGCTGATGATGGATGATGATGCTGCATGCTGATGATGATTGACGGTCGATACGGTGATCAGTGGATCCTGCGATGATGCTGTACCCATGATGGATGAGATGCTGATATGATGATGAGGGTGTCCGATGATGAGGATGATGCTGATGATGGTGATGCTGCAGCGATGATGATGATGATGATGATGATATGATGATGATGATGATGATGATGATGATGATGATGATGATGATGATGATGATGCTGATGGTGTCCCGATGATGAGGATGATGATGATCATGATGATTATGTTGATGATCATGATGATGACGATGATGGTGTCCCGATGGTGATGAGTATGATGATGTTGATGTTGATGATGCTGATTATGATTGTGTCCCGATGGTGATGATGATGATGATGAGGTTGATGATGATTATGGCGTCCCGATGATGATGATGATTATTCTGATGGTGATTGTGATGATGTTGATGATGGTGGCGTCCCGATGGTGATGATGATGATGATGCTGATGATGTTGATGCTGATGTTGTTAATGATGATGATGGTGCCCCGATGATGACGACGATGATGATGATGCTGATGATGATGTTGATGATGCTGATGCTGATGATGTCGATGATGAGGATGAGATGATGATGATGGTGTTCCGATGATGATGATGATGCTAACGATGGTGATCATGATGGTGTCCCGATGATGATGCTGCTGATGATGATGATGACAATGAATGTGTCCCGATGCTGCTGATGATGATGATGATGTTGATGATGATTGTGATGATGGTGATGATGATGATGATGGTGGTGTCCCGATGATGTTGATGACCGTGATGAATAGATGTTGGTGTTGATGATGAGGACGGTGTCCCGATTATGATGATGTTGGTGATGATGATGTTGATGTTGATGTTGACGTTGATGTTGTTGTTGATGATGATGATGATGATGATGACGTTGATTGTGAGAGCGGTTGTGATATCGATAGTGAAATCGATAGTGAGACCGAATGTGATATCGATTGTGAGATCGATTGTGAGATCGATTGTGAGATCGATAGTCAAATCAATTGTGATATAGATCGAGTGAGATCGATTGTGAGATCGATCGAGGGAGATCGATCGAGCGAGACCGATACTGAGATCGATAGTGAGATCGATAGTGAGACCGATCGAGTGAGACGTTGGTTCCTCCCCCCCCCGAACCTCCTTATCACCCGAAGGGTGGTCGTATAGGTATATACACATTTTTTTGGGGGGGGGACAAACATATCACTGGCCCCCTCCCTGCCGTTGCTGGGAGCCCTCCGGGGGGACCTCTTGGGAGCCTCCTGGACCGTCCTGGGGCTCTTGGGTCCCCCGTGGGCTGTCTTAGGGTTCGGTCGGGCATGTCCTCCTGCAGCTGGATTTGAAGCAACAGTCAAATATGATTAAACAATGCCTCAACACTCGTCAAAACATCATCCGACAAATCGTTCCCAGACTTTTTTGCTTCGGCTATCTTTGGATCTTCCTCCTGTCGGAGGATGAGGGGTGAGGAGGAGGAGGAGGAGGAGGAGGAGGAGGAGGAGGAGGAGGAGTCTCCTGGGCGCCTGCCTCCCCGCGCTCGCGCCGCCCCCGCCTGCAGCGGCGGGCCCCCGGCGGGCGCCGCGGGGCGGGCGGCCGGCCCCGCGGCCGCCAGCAGGGCCAGGCCCCCGAGCCAGGCGGCGGCCGCGGCGGCCGACGGCATGGCGCGCGGGCGCGGCATGGCGGCGGGGCCTCGGGCCGCGCGAGAGGCAGCACCCCCCCCCCCCCGGGGGGAGGAGGAGGAGGAGGAGGAGGAGGAGGAGGAGGAGGAGGAGGAGGAGGAAGGAGGCGGAGAGGGGCCAGGATGGAGGGGAGGATTAGGAGGAGGATGAGGAAGAGGAGGCCTAGCTGGCAGGGCTCCTGCACATCCTTGAGAGGCCCCCCCCCCGACCCACCCCCTGCCGGTCACAGAGCTCTGCGCGCATCGCCCCTCGCCCTGGCCCTCCAGGAGAGCTAACACAACATAAGACCAGGACGTCGACGTCCTGATGCCCGTCGGGCCGTCCAGATGGGACCTGATAGGTCTGCAGTGCTATCTTTTAGCACTCGGGCCAGGCAGTCCCGACTGGCCTCAGCGGGCCCCCCGAGTGGTCTTGGGTCGGGCGTGTCCTCCTACAGGCGGAACTTGGACGGCAACTAAAAAGAATCCAAACATGTTCAAACAGTATCGAAAATTAGAAAAAATGATTCCACATATTTTTCCACTATTTTTGAAGACTCCTCGTGTAGAGGGGCGCCCGACTTATGAGTAGACCCGGGCGGTCTCCACACCCCAACCACAGCAGTCAAAATAAACTCAGACATAGTCCAACATACTAGGCACAAATCTTCCCCAGAGTATTCTGTCAACTATATATGAACATTCCTCCTGTAGAAGGACATGCCCGATTTTCGCACGAAGGAAAGAGGAGGGCTGCCGCGGATCCGGGGCGGCACACACAAGAACGCGGCATTGCGGAGAGGCCGCCGCTGAAAGCGTCTGCACCTTCCGATCCGTCGATCCATGCCAGCCTGAGCCCCCGAGCGCAGGAGCACCACCACGCTGCGCTCGGCACTGCCATCTCCCCGCCGCCGCCGCCGTCGTCGTCGCCGCCGTTGTTCGGGGGCGCTCAAGCATGGATTAGCCATCCATGGATTTGGCGCACGGTAGCCAAATCCATGGGTCGGGGGAGGTGTGTTCCCCAAAACGCGGCCGGTGCCGCCTCGCTTGGCGGCGGAAATCCGCGATTTCCCACGCCCCCTTGATCCATGTTTGCGATCGCCTGAGTCATCGCCGCCGTCGTCGCCGTCGTCGTCCCCCTTCAGGCTCGGCGGCACCCGGCCGCAAAGGCTTCCCGATAGGACCCCTGAGCCCCTGGGGGCTGAGACATCCGTATCTGTGCCCCCTGGCACGTTGAGGCGTGGCAGAGTGCCATGGAGGAGGAGGAGGAGGAGGAGGAGGAGGAGGAGGAGGAGGAGGAGGATGAGGAGGAAATAGGGGGAGGAAGGAGGAGGAGGAGGCGGAGGAGGAGGAGGGAGGAGGAGGAGGAGGAGGAGGAGGAGGAGGGCCGGAGGAGGAAGGTGGGAAGGGCAGGGGGAGAGGAGGGAGGCAGGAGGGGAGCGGAGGAGGAGGGAGGAGGAGGAGGAGGAGGAGGAGGAGGAGGAGGAGGAGAGGAGGAGAGGAGGCGGAGGAGTTGGAGGAGGAGGAGGATGAGGAGGAGGAGGCTGGCAGGAGGAGGTGACGAGGGAGGAGGAGGAGGAGGGAGGAGGGGGAGGAGGAGGGCAGGAGGAGGGGGAGGATGAGGAGGAGGATGATGAGAAGAGGAGGCCTAGCTGGCCAGGGTCCTGCAACATTCTTGAGAAAGCCCCCCCCACCCCACGACCCACCACCTGCCGGTCAACAGTGATATGCGCGCCCCCACAGCGCCTCGCTCCTGAGGTTCTGGGCCGCTTCCCTAGCGTCCCCTCCTCCTGCCTCCTCCTTCTCCTACCTCCTCCGCATCCTCCTCATTCCTCCTCCTCCTCCCTCCTCCTCCTCCTCCTCCTCCTCCCCCTCGCCTCCTCTTCCTCCTCGTTCCTCCCTCTTCCTCCTCCTCCTCCTCCTCCTCCTCCTCCTACCCAGGGGCGCCCAGGAGGCCTGGAGGATGGCTTCCAGGACGGCCGAGGCAGGAAACCGGGGCCGCCAAGACGGCCCGAGATGCCTCCAAGACGGCCCGAGATCACAGGCAGCCCATATAACAAGGAAGCGCGATAGGGATCCAGGGACCTCGGGAAGGCCATGTCGACAATTTGCGAGCGGGGCGCGGCCAGCGACAGCGCGGCCAAGCATGGCCGAAGGGGACGGATGCAAGGGCCACCTTGGAAGATCGCTCATCCATACTATTCGGGTTGGCTGTACTCTGAGACGGCCCGATATTGACTCAAGACAGCCTCATAGGCCCCCAAGACGGCCCAAGAGGGCTCCAAGAGGACCCCCAGTAGGGCCCGGAGATGCCAACAGATCTCCACTGGCAATTGAACAATTTCGTGTGCGCACGTTTTCGGGTTTCCGTCGGTCAAGGCCGGACCGAGAGCCCTTCAATGCGGCGAAACACGGACCAAAGAGGCCCCCCAGAAGGTCCAAAAGAAGGTCGAGCCTCAAAGACGGCCCGAGAGATTTGCAAAACGGCCATGTAGCTCCCTAAGAAGGCTTGGCACCAGGCAGCCCAAATGCGCCCAAGAGACCCCGAGATGCCCCAAAAGGCCTCCAACAGGTCCCCAGAAGACCCAAATGCTCCTCTGCGCTGCAGCAAGGGGAGGAGGGGAGGAGGGGGAGGAGAGAAGAAGATACAAAAAAGATGACGACACCGAGGACGAGACACCGACACGAAGTGGAAACGCGCGTTGCATGTTTTGGCTCCCCTGAGCCCTGGGACATGATATGTCAAGCGTTACGGCGTCCTGTGCGCTCTTCGACCCGTCGCCATTTAGAGTGCTGGGTTGGTACGGTGACGACGGGACTTGCAGCAGGCAGCTGGATATGATCCTCAGCCTCCCAACCTCAATGACTTCGTATCCTGCCCAGGACGATTCTTTCCTCACCCCAACATTCTGTCAGTGACGTCTTCCCGTTTTGCGCACCAGACTGCCCTCGACCTTTCCCCTTAACCTCGCCCCATCTTCATGTTTCCGCCCTCTGCTCCCCCCTGTCCATTTCCATTCTGCTTCAGGTCGGGTGTTGCTAGAAGTGCCACTGGCCCAAGGTGCCCCCAGGATTTCGGAGGGGGGGCCCAGACGGCCTCCAGGGCGCCCCTTACGAGGCCCAGAGGGCCCCAGGGGGCTCCAAAATGTAGCGAAAAGCTGGGGGCACCTTGGACTGGGGCACTTCTAGCGACACCCGATCATGGGCCGTGCAACAGCTTGCTAGTCCACGCGCGGCATCCACGAAACTCGCCGACCCCTGAAAGACGCCGCGGCCCGCCGTGCACCGATGCTCGAGCTCGGCGCTGGCCTTCGCATGCCGTGGTACCTCGGCGCTCGCTTCGTGCCGGGGTGGCAGCTCGTTCCAAAAGGGGCGTGCTGCTGGACTCGGGGCGGAGATTGAGAGGCCCTTTCTTCCGGGTGCCCCCCCATCCTGTCCGCCAGGTGTGTCAGGCGCGGGTCCAGGTGTGGAGCCCGAACCTGGCAGGGGTGATGGCATGCTTCGGCCGAGACGGACACTCTGAGTGCGGTGACGGGTTGTGTTCCTGAGCCTCCAGAGAAAACGCCCGCGACGCGACTTGAACCTGCCCCCCCCCAAGCGGTCTCTGCAGCTAATCTTAAGTCGGTCGTGTCCCCCTTACAAGCGGAATTTGGAAGACAAATGAAACATATCCAACACATGTTCAAACATATTCAAACATAGTCTAAAAGTCGTGCTCTGGCTATGTTCTGACTTTTTGAAATTCCCCCTGTAGAGGGACACGCCCGACAGGAAGCTAAGATGGCTGTCTTTAGGGCGGATTTTGCGGACTCAACCGACTCAACCTGTTTTTGCATCATCGTCATCATCATCGTCATCATCGTCGTCATGATATTCATCATCGCCCGCGTCATCGCCATCATCATCATAATCTACGCGCCCACCTTCGCTACTAGACTGGGTCCGAGGGACCAAAAGCATTGTTTTGTTTGCTGGTTGGAGCGAACGTAAGGTTTAAGGTGAGAGAGAGCGGGTTTCCATAGGGAACAACATTGGGGCGGCTGGAGCCGCTCTCCCCCAAGGAGGGATGCATCCCCTTGACGGGAGGCCGACCGACCGAGGGGCGATGCATCCCTCTGGCCGATCCCCCCCCTTGTAACAGAGGGGAAATGCCTCCCTCATGCGCGACCAACCACGGAGGGGAGATGCATCCCTCATGCGCGAAGTGTCGCGCTCGAGGCTTCGTCGCTTCGCTTACCCTCTTGGCCCCCCCCCAGCTTGCTGAATGCAAACCCAGGGCGGGAGGGTGGGAAAAATCAAATCGCAAGGTGAGCGCGGCCACCGCGGCCCGTCGCCCCCCCTTCCTCGCAGCCCCTCGGCGCGGGCAGCGAAGGGGGGGGGCGCCCCCCCCCTCTCTTCGCCCCTGCGCCCCGAGCTGTATGCGCGGGCGACGTTTCCAAGGTGTCCGCGCGCGTACATCATGAAGCACTCACCCATGCCTGCCCGGGCCTAAAGTGCACCCATAATCTACGCGCCCACCTTAGCTACTAGACTGGGTCCGAGGGACCAAAAGCATTGTTTTTTTTGCTGGTTGGAGTGAACGTGAGGTTTAAGGTGAGAGAGAGCGGGTTTCCATAGGGAACAACATTGGGGCGGCTGGAGCCGCTCTCCCCCAAGGAGGGATGCATCCCCTTGACGGGAGGCCGACCGACCGAGGGGCGATGCATCCCTCTGGCCGATCCCCCCAACGCTGCTCACCCCCACGCCCCGCTCGCTCACCCAACGCTGTTCACTTACCGAGCAACACAATGTATAACGGCGCGTCGCAGCCACACGTGGGGGCTACCCGCGGGCGAAGCGCCATGCGCTCTCCAAGCTGCCCGTCCAAATACGACTGTCCACGCCGATTCGCTTTGCTGGAAATCGATGTCGCCTCACAAACGCGTCACTTCCTAGCTGCCTCGAAATCCCGTCCGACCAATTGGTCCCCGAAGGCGTGAATTCCCACCACGTGGTGATCGAAC